TCTCTCTCTCTCTCTCTCTCTCTCTCTCTCTCTCTCTCTCTCGCTACCTAGTTTGTGTGTGTTGGAGGAAGCCCCTCACGGATGAAAACTTTTATTACCTACATTGGTGAAGAGCTGGGAATTGGCAGCCCTTGTAGTGACTATCCCAACATCTGTGCAGGAACCGACCGTTATGCTATGTATAAAGCAGGCCCTGTCCTCTCAGTCAGTGTAAGTGCTATTAATATTTATGTGCATTTGCTGTACGTAGCAAAGATTATAAGGAAAATGTATTTGAAAACTGAAAAATATTTTTAAATTTGGAGTAGTACTAATTACAACTTATTTATGCATTTAGAAGATATGTATGAAGGAATATCAATTTATTAATAGATTGGGTTTTATGTATAGGTTGGCCAAGATCTGTAAAATTATTGTTCTGTGCGCAATTAGGCAGCAGAGCATGTTGGAATAGCAGTGAGGCAGATGAAACCCCAAAGTGATGCAAGCTAAATTTTAATATGCACTCAAGAGTTTTAAAGTAGTCAGTAGGCCCAATAATAATGGTCCCACAGAGTGCAGTGTTAACAGGTCACAGAGTATCCAAGAACCTTGGGTGCAGATGTGTCAGAAAAGGAGGAATATCACTTAGCAGCCAGGTAAGTTTATTTTAAACCAGAGTTCTTGTTTATATAGAGAGACTAATACATTTATAGTTAACCGGTTTCATCCTGTTAGAAGCCTGGCCTGTTTTACTGCATTGTTTTGTAGTTCTGGATGCTTAGCCAAGGGACCATTCATGACTCTATTAGGCCTGCAGTTTTTTTACTTTCTGGCTTGAGATGCCTTTATTTGGTCACTCCTGCTGAAACAGGACAGAGTTAAGATAGTAGAACCAATTTTTTATTTTAGAAATAAAAGGATTCACTTGGTGCTGAAAAGTGACTCTAAGCAAAGCTCTCTGGGAAGAAAATCCCCCGACTGGAACAGTGTGGGGTGGGACTCATAGCTCAGTCCCAGCTGAGGCTGGTACTCTCCCCTGGTTCGGTCTGGAGGTCCTTGCAAAGCAAAGTATTTGCCACACAAAATACTAAGAGGACTCATTATTATCTTGCATGCAAGAGGCTAATACCATTGAATACTAGTAATAAAGGCACCCATGAAAACGGGCCCTTTTCTTATCACTTACCTCACCTCTGACAGCAGTAGGACCTAGAGAAGGGCCTCTGAGGAAGGTCTTAATACACAGGTGGGCTTGTGTTCAAGACACTTCCAAAAGGTTTCAGCTTTTTTAGCTTACACATCTACAAAGTGTAATCACAACTTTATTATGTGAGTCAAAGCCCATGACCAAAGGGATAGCACTTCAAGAACTGCATACAGCTGCAGAATAGAAAATTTAAAGAAACGCCCCATTTTCCCACCAACGTACCAAAAATATTTGCTTCGTTTACTTTGCTCTTAGTGCCAGCATTGTTGCAGTACTCATCGCTTCTATGCCCATATCTAACAGCAAATAACAGACTGACCTGGTCTGCATAACCAAAACAGCCACTGTGGGCTGCAGCACGTGTTGCATATTCAGTACCTGGCTGCAGCTTGCGGTGTGTCTGACAGGGGTTGTGGAAGGGCTAAACCCTTGCATGGCCCAGTAACAGACCATGGGGTATGTGAGGGTTGTTAACCTTTGTACAGCCTCTGCTGCGCAGGGTCACATGACTCGGCAAGCAGCAGCCAGGTGTTGAATATTGCAGCCGGCTACCTGCAAGCACCTGCATGCCTCACCGCCCATTGCGGCTTACATAATCATGTGAACTAGCCCACTGTCTCTACCTCTGAAGCCAACTCGTGACTCCTAGAATATCATTTATACATTTAGATTTGATCTCACTGATGATTTACATTCAGAAGGTAACGCACCAAGTCCTCAATCTGATATGGGCATCTGGGGCACACCACTCCCAGAATACCTTACTATATTGCTCTGGTACCATGACTGAAGAGAGCATATAGAAATGCAATTCAGTAAATACTGTATGTGTCTTTGAAATGAGATAATCAGATTATCCAAATTGTAGATTACCCTTTATTGTAGACTCTAATCCAAGAGAGTTGTTTTATATTTATGGTTTTAACATCATATCCCTAATGACTGTTTCTTGGGTGGTGTTTCTCTTGCTTGCCTGGTTCTTACTATTTTCACCATTTAGCTTTCAGGACTTTTGCACTTTTTCCATATTTCCTCTGGATATTCATGTATGCCAATATTGCTAGGTGCTGAGCACCTAGGACAAAGATCCTTTCATGAAATCTTAGCAAGCAGCAATGGACTCTTTATCTATCCTACAAAGGGTAGATAAGGGCACTTCCAAGTCATTGTCTCCAATCATGATGATGATGATGATGATGATGATGATCATCCTATGATGATGTCTACAAGCCAGTGGAAATAATCAACAGCACAACATGACTTAGCAGTTCTTAAAGCAACTGGAAACAAGTGAAAATGCTCATTTCTGGAATGTGGCAAATTAGCAGAGTTTGCAGAAGTGGACTTTACTGACCTCTCCTACTCTGAAAATGAGTTTTTTGCTGCTGTTGTCAAACAGTGGAAAGTCAGAAAGCCTTGCTGATGTAATTTCTGCCTACTCCATTCCAGAACTTGGTATATCATAAGCAGAAGGCAATTAATGGTGCATTCATATGTATTGTTGATCCCGTGTCTCCCTCTTTCATTTCAGCATGGAATGGGGATTCCATCAATTGCCATCATGTTACATGAACTTATCAAGCTGCTGTACTATTCCAAATGCTCCAATGTGACTATTCTTCGTATTGGCACATCTGGTGGAGTAGGTATGCCTCCTGCTTTTATTTCATCAAAGTAACAATATATCACAGTTATTGGCTTGTGATGTCTAGACAGAATCCTGAAACAAATACATATTTTTGAAATGTAGGTTTGGCACCAGGATCGGTGGTGATCACCAAGCAATCTGTGGATGCCACCTTCAAACCTCAATTGGAACAGGTTATTCTTGGGAAGTCTGTATTTCGTAACACAGACTTAGATGAGAAGTTGGTTGAAGACCTGATGGAGTGTGCCAGAGAACTAGATGAGTTCAATACTGTGGTTGGAAATACTATGTGCACTCTGGATTTCTATGAAGGTAAGGCTGGTATAGGTCAGCCAAACAACAAAGCAACAAAATAGCAGACAAGCAAAACATTTGAATTAGTGGATGGTGAGAGAAAGTGTGCCATTTTCTTTGAAAATAGAATCAGAATATTTGGACAAATAAAGAGATAAATAGGGTGAATCCACATTCCACCCAAGTCCAAGCCTAGTTAACATAAACATCAGATTGAGCAGTGAAGCAATTTCTTTATTGTACCATATCAGAGCACAGCTGGGGTAACTGTTCAAATAGGTGAAGGCTTCCCCATGAAAAATCATCTTTGTGCATACAAAACTAGCAAACTCAGAGAAGGCCTAGATTTGACATCTGGGATAGGTACACATGCCATGGTTGCTTTTTGTGCATGTTAGTCTGTCATGCCATCCAAACCCCACCATGGTATATCAGCAGGGTATATTTGGGGTTTAGTAATCATGGAGGGAAACAATGGCCTGCTCTGTGGCTTCCACACTTCAGCACCACTTCTCTGGTCATCTGAACCCAGCATTGGGTGTCCCTCTCTATAAAGTCACCTCTTTCAGCAAGAGACATATGGGCAACACATGGGCATAACAAAAGGGGGAGTTTCCTGAATAAGCACCGTCTTCCGTTCTGCCTTCCATACTCTCCTCCACTTCTTTCTTATCTGCAGCTAGGAATGCAAAGGTTTGGCCAGAATCTGGCTCTCTTTTGCTCACTAGACTTCTTTCCTGCCCTCGACCCTGGCCAGGAAGCCAACCAAGACAAGGTTGCATCTGTGAATACTTAGGAATGCTAACAGCTTCATTGTGGAAAATACATAAATCTTTGTGCAAAGTACACGAAGTATGCAAAGTGCACAAGCCATGTTTGTGGAAGATTGCACAGTGGGTGTATGGGTGGCCTGTACATAAGCTGGCCTTGTGAACTTGCTTGGACTGACTTCCTGCTGGATGCCCATGCAAGTGCTTGGCACGAAGCTGACTTAAGGCAGACAGAAAACAGGCTGGAGTCTGGGGAATTAAACTAGGAAATCGGATGGATTCCCATCTCCAAAATGGATTCCTCACACATCACTATCCGTAGCATATCTCTGCATTGTCAACCATCCCTGCCATTGCCTCCACCTTTCCTCATCTGCATCACAAACACTTTCTCAAAGGAAGCCATCCTAGCAACATTTCCAGGGAGCTGCACACACATGCTGCCTTGGGAAAGCTCTCCCCAGCATCATGAGGCACAGCCTCCCAAGAAAGGCTTGGGGCACCTGTGGAGGTGAGGAGCATAGGGAGCAGACCATGAGTCCATCTGTCCCTGCACTATCAGCACTGACTAGCAGCAGCTCCCCATGGATTCGGGGGCGGGCGGGGGGCGGGCCCAGCACAGTAGGAGGCTTGAACCTGGTGCTTTCTGCATGCAAAGTAGGGGCTCTTCAGCTGAGCTACAAGCCCTCTCAAGTTGTGCCTGGTACATTAAATTAAGGATGGAAAGGGAGCTTTCCAGAATGGCCGAGTGTGTTTTCTTACTGTTTAGGTTTTATTGCAGCTAAAAAGAATAGAATGTGACAATAGTCACTGGCATCAAACAACAACAAATGCACAAATCCCTTTACAACTTCTACCAATCCTCCTTTTCAAATTTAAATTTCCCACCATAGGTCCTGCCTAGGTAATTATGCTTCAGGATATGCCTTCTGGATCTGACTTCCTAAACAGCAATTGCTCCTGAACTGAATGTCCTTATGGGCTCCCCTGCTAGTTTGGTACCAATAGTAGCTCCTAGAGTAAAATCTAAAAGGATCATTTAGCTCATTAGGTTTAGCTAATTGCAGACATTTCATTGAATGTATAAAAATCTGAATTTTATGCATTTGTAGGCCAAGCTCGTCTCGATGGTGCAATCTGCACATATACTGAGAAAGAGAAACAGCAATATTTAATGTCAGCATACCAGGCTGGAGTCAGAAATATTGAGATGGAATCATCTGTTTTTGCAGCCATGTGCAACATTAGTGGCATCAAAGGTAATTGCATGCACACAGTCATAAGTTTAGATCTTTCTCTTGCCATTTAGGGTTCAGTCCTTTTTAGCCTTGACCAATCAGTGAGGGATACTGGTAGCCTTAGTTACCTCTATTAGGACATCTGTAGATGATCAGGAGCAGTCAGCTATGTAGAAATTGCTCTTAGAAGCCATGGCATGATTCAATGGGATTGCTTTCCAGTTGGAGGGCTAAGAACTTTAATCCTCACCTAAGATGCAGAGCAAGATGAAGAGGAACTCTTAAGGATCTTGTATTCATTAGCAACAGATCTGCAGTGAACCATAACTTTACAAAACCTGGTTCTGTAGGAAGAAGTGGAGCGACATTATATACAGCTTCAGAAATCACACTGCCTGGATAGCAGATCATCTTCTCTATTCTCTCATTTGAAAGAAAAAGGGAGAATAGTCAGGACCCAGGTCACACATGTGAAATACCCTTAAAAACTGTATTGTATTTCCAATGTGAACTGGCTGTATCTATCTCTAAAAACAGTTACCCCTCCTGTATTTCTGTTTGCTAGTTTTAGTCCCTGTTATTCTTGTAAGAATAAGACAGTATCAGTTTTTTTAAAAAAAATTAGTGCTCATAGGATCGCATTAAAGTGATATATTTCTCAGGAGTACCTTTGTTGTTTTGTGGGATAAAACCCCAGGTGCTGTGGTGTGTGTAACTCTCCTGAACCGACTTGAAGGCGACCAGATCACCACACCTCATGATGTGCTGAAAGAGTACCAGACGAGACCACAGAAGTTGGTGGGATACTGGATTAAGAAGCACCTGGGGAAAAAATGACCTTTGTCATCTTTGCACTGAAGTTAGAAACTCCAATGTTTCTTCATGTTGGAAGTGTCAGAATGCCGGATTCTCAATTTGTGAAGAAGGAATAAAACTCGGGTTCGTGGGAAAGATCAAGCGTCCAGACCATCTGAGGCTTTATTGTATTTTATTTATTTATTTATTAAAACATTTTTATGCCGCCCCATTCGCCGAAGCCTCGGGGCGGCTTACAACATAGATAAAACAAGTTAAAATCCATATAAAATAATCTTAATTAAAACTCACATTATAAAATAAGCCGCCCTGGCCAGATAAAATTCAATTGTATTTAGCATTTAAAATGTTGCTTAAATAAAAAGGTCTTAGCCTGGCGCCGAAAAACAAATAACGACGGCGCCAGGCGGACCTCTCTGGGGAGCGCATTCCATAACTTAGGCGCCACCGCTGAGAAAGCCCTTCTCCGAGTAGCCACCCTCCTAATTTCTCTCACGGAGGGCTCCCGGAGAAGGGCCTCTCCCGCCGATCTCAGGGGGCGACTGGGCAAATATGGATGTAAGCGCTCCTTCAGGTAACCAGGACCCAAGCCGTTTAGGGCTTTATAGGTCATTACCAACACCTTGAATTGGGCCCGGACTTCAATGGGGAGCCAGTGAAGCTGACGGAGAACTGGTGTCATGTGAACATAACGTCCAGTCCCCGTCAGCAGCCTGGCAGCTCTATTCTGAACCAATTGAAGTATCCGGACCGTCTTCAAGGGTAGCCCCACGTAGAGCGCGTTACAGAAGTCAAGACGGGAAGTCACCAGCGCATGAGTCACTGTTGCAAGGCAGTCGTACTCCAGGTAGGGGCGCAGCTGATGAATCAGCCGAAGCTGGAGGAAAGCGCTCCTCGCCACTGTTGTCACCTGAGCTTCAAGTGAAAGCTCCGGGTCGAGGAGCACTCCCAAGCTGCGGACCTTGTCCCTAGGAGGGAGTGCAACCCCATTCAGGACAAGGTTCAGGTCACCTTCTCCGAAGCCCGAACCGCCAACCAACAGGACCTCCGTCTTGTCTGGATTGAGCTTCAGTTTATTGGCCCTCATCCAGCCCATTACCTCGGCCAGGCACCGGTTCAGTACAGCCACTGCCTCACCTGGATTGGTGGAAAACGAGAGGTAGAGCTGGGTATCATCAGCATACTGATGGGTCCGCAGCCCACACCTCCTGATGACCTCTCCCAGCGGTTTCATGTAGATATTGAACAGTAAAGGGGACAAAATGGAACCCTGCGGTACCCCATGGCAAAGCTGCCATGGCGCAGAGCCATAGTCCCCCAACACCACCTTCTGGAATCGGTCGTTGAGATAGGAGCGGAACCACCGCAAAGCGGTGCCTCCGACCCCCAATCCCGCCAGCCTATCCAGAAGGATACCATGGTCGATGGTATCGAAAGCCGCTGAGAGGTCCAGGAGAACCAACAGGGACGCACTCCCCCTGTCCTTCTCCCTGCACAGGTCATCGTACAGGGCGACCAAGGCAGATTCAGTACCGTACCCGGGTCTGAAGCCGGACTGAAATGGGTCCAGATAATCAGTTTCATCCAAGAGTGCTTGGAGTTGTCCCGCCACCACTCGCTCTAACACCTTGCCCAGAAACGGGATGTTGGCCACTGGTCTATAGTTAGCGGCCATCCCTGGATCCAGTGACGCCTTCTTCAGGACCGGTCGGACTACCGCCTCCTTTAAAGGGGCAGGCACCCGACCCTCCCTCAGAGAAGCGTTAACCACTTCCAAGATCCAGGTTCCAATCCCGTGCTTGGAATCCTTTATTAACCAAGACGGGCAAGGGTCCAGAAGGCAAGTGGTAGGACGTACTCGTCCAAGCACCTTGTCCACATCATATTTACCCCAAGGTTCCCGCGGTACTCACGATAATGCATGTATTACCAGGCAGGCAGAGGTGAACTCTGCTGCAAAGCTTCAACACAACTAGAGAGTTTTTATACACTCCCAGTCACATACAGGTACAGGGCAATTGATGACAGAATGTAGACATTACAATAAGGTTCTGAGGTCATCACATACAGAACAGATAAAGGAATGCCAGTCAATCATACTGTAACAATGAGATTACAATATTTCTAATTGCATTGTATTGACACTTTAGTTGAGTAACTTGAACCCATCCCCAGGTCTGTACATCTCCATGTAAATTCAAGCTACTAGAAACTATTCATGATAAGCTCAGACCCTTATCTAAACATTCTCAATGATCAGGGCACATGAAGCCTCTGGGCTATCAAAAGATACTTCCTTGTAAATTGAATCCCAGCAATGACTATTTGCAATGTATTTTTGGACTGAATGGCCTGTCTATTGTAGCCCACAGCTAAAGGTGAGAGAAAGGAGCGGGGGGATGGCATTTTAAACAGTGACAGCTTGGTTTTGAGAAGGAAGACAGGATTTGATCCCACAGTGCAAAGGCACACAGAAGTAGTGCTTTTCAGACAGGATTTATCCAAATTTTCCCAACAGAAGCCATGATGAAAAGGATAATAACTGCCTATTCCATATAAAACATCAGTATACTTAAGCTGCAGTCTTATGGACTTATCTGGGAGTAAGCAAGAAAATTATATCTGACTGAACAGTTAATTCTTCAAAGAAGCATACAGTAATGTTAAGGCACAACAGAAATAATTTTAAATGAGCTGATTAATGTTATTCTCTACTTGATATACATTATAAAATGCTGTTAGAGGGCAAAATATGGTAAAATATAACTCTCATGCCAAAGTATCTGTAGACATAAATTAGCTACAAGTACTGAGATAGAAGAAACTGAAATTATTAGTGATAACCTGGTGGGCATTTGCTTGAGAATGAGTCTTACTGAGCAGTGCATAGTGAGTCCTATTGTGCAGAAATCCTTGTATTCCTTTTCATTTTCTAGGATTTAGAAAACAAGAAATGCAGGACATTCTTATATTGGTTTTATGTTTTTAAAATTTCAATGAATTACTGTATCTAAAAGGTGACGAAGCAGATAACTGCAGAACATATACTCAAAGAAATAATATAAACCCAAAGAAATGCTCATTTTTATTCTATTCTAGATAACTGGAGTCTAGGTTTGGGGCGGATCAAAACCTTTCCTCCATTCCATGTTTCTTGATAACTACAAAGGATGTACTCAAATTTGTGCAAAAGCCTAGAACATGAACTTGGTGCAGGAAATATACCAACATTCTGCACCAAGAAAAGTTGAGCTCAGGAATCTGCACATACTATGTAAATTAAACAAATTTGAATAATTTTGTTTCATCCTGGAAAGTTTGTTTTATCCTATCTATAAAACAACTTATTACAAGATAATTCAGTACCATCTTGCCTTTTAAAGGTGAGGTAAACAAGTAATACACTAAGTTCCCTTTGATTACTGTAGAAATTGACTCATGTCTTTGGGAAAGAAGCCATGACTCTTACTAGTACAAATATTTGTGGTTTACCATGTGAACAAATGAAAGCCAATCCAATTAATTTCCATAAAAGATAAAGCTGTATGAAAATTCCTTTCCTAAAGAGGTTCACCTGGCACCATCTTTATTTTATTCGATTTTTTTTTACACCCGGTAAAAGCATTTGCATTTCTCAGACTTTTTCATGCTGCATTCATTTTATACCGATTTGTAATCACCTGCTGTAATTGAATGCTTGGGGTTTTTTTAGATTTTATCTTAGAAGTTGCTTTGAGAACCATAATTAATGCATGTTTCAAAGAAAAGAAATTTTAAATACAATAAATATGCAGATCATCTAGTCAGCAAATCAGTAAATGTTCATCCCCTGTCCCTCAGTAATAAAACAAAATATCAGGATGATGTGGGATCGTCCTGGGAGTAAAAGCCACTGAAAATTCCCTGTTAGTGATCCCTAGTCACAGAACCTCTGCTTCCAGATATGCCAGAAACATATTAAGCAGGGTTTTTTCTTTCAACTCTGCATGTTCAATTACCCTCAAAGATCCAAGACCTCACAAAAAGCTAAATACCATTAGTGCAAGTTCAAGTGCCAAATGGCCATACAGCACATGTGGCTCCACTGGCTGTTTTTGTACTCACCCCCCACCCCCATGCTGCTGAATGTGCCACCCTCTGATGGCTTAGGGCTATAATTTTGTTTTAAAGCAACATCATGTTTCTTAGATTCTCTAGAAGGCACAATGTTGCTTTAAAACAAAGTGCATGCCTTCCATGCACAACTTCTCAACTTCAGCACTGAACTTTGGTTGTGAATGCAGGCACACTGCAGTCATTCGGGGAGGGTGTGGTTTCCACTAGCTTTCTGGGGTGCCCTGTGGAGGGAAATTGGCTCCTGGGCCAGCAAGATACCTGACGTAGAAAATTGAATTTCAATAGAAAAGGAGGGACAGACTTCCAAAATGTTTAGGCAATTCCTAATGCAAATACCTTTCCATGTGTATTATTTGTATTGTGTTTATTTTATGTAAGCCGTCCTGAGGCTAATTAATAAATAATAAATAAAGACTGCCAAGGTAAGGTGTGATACACAGTAGACTCAACAGAGTCTACAATTCCAAGAGTCCTGCATTTTGTCACGTTTTTAAAAAGGCTCTTAGAATGGATTCAGCAGCATACTAGCCAGGCTTTGATAGGTCACAGTAAACGTAGGGTGGACAACTTGTGGCTCTCCAGGTCTTTTAGCCAACATCTCCCCATATCCTTCACCATTGGCTATACTGGCTGATGTGAGCTGTAGGCCAAAACCTCTGGAGGGCTGCCTTTATGGTAAACATGTCTCACAAGGGCCTCAGGAAGATACTCCCATGGGAGCCTCCTTGGGAACTCCCTAAGTGCATTTGCTGTCTGTGAGCATGAGGAGGACTGGGTTTCTTCCTGATCTCCCTATGTCCTCCTGCTCAGTTGGAGTCCTGAATAGATACTTTTCTCAGATGTCAGAAATGGGGACAGGGCCACCCTGCCGTTAGGCAAAATGGGGCAACTGCCTCAGGCAGCAGATGTTAAGGGAGCAGCAGGGAAGCACTGGAGGACAGGGCTTTAGAAGTTATGTAGTCTTTCATCCTGCCCTAAAAGTAACTTTCTGCTTTCAGGTGTGGTGGTTACTATCTCACCATGTG